TTTCGACTATAGCTAATGCCGTGTTGTGTTTTTTCAGATGGTGCAGGCGATTCAAGTGCTGCGGTTTCATCTGCTCGAATTGGAGAAGGTAAAAAGAATGCGATCTGTTTTCTCTTAGTGACACGTCGCCTTAACTCCTCTCTACAGGGAGGGACAGAGGGAGAGGTGGAGGGGGGGGGCAACTTCGGTTTCCCTGGCAGCATCGGCGATTGTGGCACGCTGTCTTATGCCTCGTTAGCGCTTTGCGCAGCAACGGTGACGGTCGCGTTTCGCTCGGTCGCTCTACACTCAATTAATCACATTCATGTAAATATTAGCTTTGCAATATAAAACTTCTTGGGCAGTTTTTGCCCGCCAAAATGTCATCTCTTGGCCGTCTTCGTCCACGTCGCCTTCATCGACGACGACGATGAACACGTGTCAGCATTGTGACAGTAATCTAAGCGTGTCATTGTCGCATCATCGCGTTGTCGCCGTCTTCGTTGACCGTTTTCGGACCGTTTTCCTTTTCGCCAACTTTACGATCGCTTGGCAAAAACTTGTTTGGCATTTAGTGTCACGGCCGACTTGTTCTCTATTGAAATCCCACAAATCATTCGTCGTTTCTGTTCCGTCGTTGCCTCTCATCCCTCATTCGTCAATTAGCCTCATCCCTTTGTATTGCGGGCGCTGATACACAAATTCCTGCATCGCGCTTCCTCATCTCCCAGATATCGCCGGCATGGGGTTGATGCGCTGGTCAGATGTCAGAAATCGCATTGCCGCGAGCTGCTCCACAATCAGCGGGCTTGCTCGAGCAAGCTGTTCGTTCAGGTCTCCCACACAGTGCCTCAGGTGCGTTTGTTGTGCTGGCACGGTGACGCCGAAATAGCCGAAGGTCACCGGTTGTCGGTCGGTGCAAGAATCATAGTGTTAGTGGTGATGATGCCCGCCTATGGCTTTGCTCACAGGCAAACAAACGTTCCACAACTGGCGAACATTTTTTTTACCCTGTTCGTCGCCGTTGTTACTCACCGTAATTTTTTGCCTTCTAACTGAAACGGTCTTCAACCGTAATCAGCAGTGCAAAAAATGAAACTTACTGTTGGTATGCGCATAGGCAGTTTTTCAAGTGACCCTCTGCTGAAGATAAAGTAAAGTTATGTTGCCGATACTGTGATACTGTAGAAGCTGCTCCTCATTTGGAAAGTCAACTGCTGAGTCGAGCCGACACTTGGCACAAGCAAGCAAGCGTTTGCAACGAAGAATACTAGTTGCACGGCAGCGTCATAAAACTGATTTAAAGTCGTCCAATCAACAGGGACATAACAGAAGTTAACCCCTACTGCGGGTTTGCCAGCAAATTATTCGTTTTCGATGCCGCCAGGAACACGCACCGATCTCCTGCCGATTCTCTGGATTTGCATGGACTAATCGCACTGACCCTTCTCCTTGCTTCAAGTAGCCGAGGGAACCGTTAGAGCAGGCCTCGGTTCCATGATATTCTAGCATCTGTTGCACATGGTTGGAAAGAGTACTACTTTTTTGGATCCAACAAAAACGTATTCAAACACCAACTCAACCATTTTTTAATCTTTCTGTGAGCTTCGACTTTTCGGGTGTTTCTTGTTTCTATTTATTGTACGTTGAATATGGAACACCGCTTTGTGTTCCAAACGTTCAAGCTCAAAAAATAAAATCTATCAGCGTTTTCAGCCGGTTAAATAACGCATTTATCCAGGCTTATTTATTCGTGAATAGTAAAGGGCGACGCTTCTAGGAACGGCCACGAATTTGAGAAAAATACTACAGCTACTAGCGCTTGGCTGACGGTTCGATCATAAGCACTGCTGATACCACTCGTCTTGCATTTCATGGAGTATGACTGAAATAATAAATATTTTAATAGAGAAATTAATGTTTTGAGAAAAAGGAAAACGCTATCAGCAATTTATTTTCATCGCTTAAAAATTACTTTTATCCTCTTGGCAACTGACCGTTCCGAATAACCTATACCAAAACAAAACGTTGAAAAAAATGTTAAAATGTGTAGACGTGAGTATCGTTCATAAGACGGAGAGGCATTTGTCTGCTGCTGAAGTGACTTAATAGACAAATGCCAGTTACCTGACAGTTAGTCATTACAAAACGGCAGTTTTCTGAAAAGATTTTACAGTATACACTGCAAACAAACTACGCCATCTGTTAGCTGCCTTCGTTTGTTTTCCTCCTTCCGTGAAATTTTCAACCGCTGTTCCTGTGGTAATATTTTCCAAGTGATTAATGATGGCTTCAAATGTTTATGGCAAGACAAAGACGTAGTACTCTGAAGACTTCAGAAGTTTGGTTCGAAACGTCAGATGTCTCCAATTAAAAACATTTTATGCGTGGTATTCCCGTTTGTGACTTACCAAAGGATTATATCATCTCCCAAATAAATAAATATGTACGATTTTCAAGACAAAGACATCATTCCAAAGTATATATGTCCAAACATTATTCCGGTCAGTATAAATGACTCCCATGCAGTTTGGGACTTCCTTCTTACGTATTCATACTTCATATGAGCCAATTCATGGAAAAGTACACAGGTTCTTTTAGTCTACTAAATCAGTACTTATCAGTCCTGTACTGGCTCTTATTATCGTACGCCACAGTATTAAGTTAATGTTTCGTTAAGCTCCGTCGGGGAAAATTTTAACTGACATGTAGTGCCCAAGAAAATGTGTGAAATAGAGTATTGCTATGTTTGCGTGAGTTTCTGTTGAAACTCAGAGTCAAGTCATTCATTGATTAGTGGCAGTCGTTTATGCTATTTGACGAGACGCTGATCACTTTCGTTTCAGGTGCACGAACTATGTGATAACTTCTGTCAACGATACATCAACTGCCTCAAAGGCAAGATGCCGATGGACCTGGTGACCGAGGAACGAGCCGGCAGCAGCGCCTCGTCCACGTCAGAATCTCACATTACCAACAGCAGCTCGTTGATGTTTCCAAGCGGCATCGGATCAAACATTTCCGGGCCATCGGTGGCAACAGGAACGGTCGGAAGTGGGTCGTCCACCACGACAGTTGCTGACCAATCGTTCTCTCAAATGACCAACACTTCATTAAGTCCGAATAATGGAATGTGCCAAGCGAGTACAGGGTCGGCGTACGGAAGCCGCACGCCATCGAGCAGTAGCAGCTGCGGTCGTCTGTCTGAGGAACCCGTCACGCCCGCCGGTGATGCTAGAGTCGAAGATCCGGTAAGCACGAGAATGCTATGCCATTGCGAAGGTTGCTAGTCACAAGTGTTCTCTTTTGCTGCGAAACCGGCCTACATCTTCAAGAAGCAATTTCTTCATGTCTCCATAATTCCTCAATTTTCCTCATTTTAAAAATATATTAGACTTTCATGTTTCGATGGTGCCTCGAATTGGTCCATAAA